AAAGTGGGTCTCTGGTAGGGGTGTTTGGAGTTGGGTGGTGGATTCTAGGCAATTCTGAGCTTGCGCACAGCCTCTTTAGTGAGTTGTGGATTTACCATTGGACTAATGTTTTCTTCTGGATGGTGCACACCCTGTGGATGTTGCTAGAACTTTCTAGAATCAGGTTCCCTCCCCCACTGGCATAGCGAATGGGAGCGCTCCTCTTGTAGGGGCATGTGAATCAGACCGAGAGCCTGTCGCCCTGCCAGCTCATCCCCCAAGTCACTGTGGGCAGAGATACTGGTTCTTGCCAACGTCACTGGTGGGTCCGTCCGCGTCTCACTGGTGTGTGTAGGTTCATGCTACACCTGGTGTTCCTAGGAGCACGCGGGGTAACTCTCCATGGGGGTTTCTCTTATAACCGCTTCTTTCAATTCTTTCTTGGCAGAAACTATCCTTAACCCAGCACTGAACATTACTAGGTAAAGATGAGCAAATTGTAGTCCTCAACATGGTAGCTAACTCTTCACCCTCACAATGGTGTCTCTAAAAGTCAAAATTGCCGTGGGCCTGCATTTGACCCAACAACTCCAGGGTGGGTAAACTGGACCCTGGAATCCTGATCCATGCCCCAGTTGGCATTGCCAGATTAATTAGCTGGGGACAGTTTTCCCTGGGGCTAAAAAAAGCCAGAAGAACAGGACATTCTGTCTTGGAGCCTGCAGGTCTGGCCTGTGGGCCAGCCTGGGCTGCACAGGAGGTTGCCCTTCTCCGCGGTGCTGTGATGTCTGGCACTTGCCTGCTGACGGGACCATGCCCAAGCTGGGTAAGCCTGGCCATCAGACCGCACCTGAATTTTTTAACTCATGTGCGCGCACGGGTGCTAACCGTGACCCTCAGCCCAGACACAGCCTTGACCTTGCCATCCCCAGCCTCTGTTTCCTCTTCTGTAAAGTGTGGATGAGAGCTTCAGCCTCGCCCACTTTGTAGGAGTGCACTGAGTGTCAGAGCAGGGGCAGACATGAGTGCTTGTCAAGGAGTGTAACTGGGAGAAACCAGGACAAGCCGAGGGATTAGAATCACGAATTCACCTGACGGGTATTTATGGTGCGCCTGCTCCGCGACCCGCACCGTTTTAGGTGCTAGATGTGCGGCAGTGAGTTGGACCGTTCTCACAGTGCTTAGGTGCTAGCTGGGAGAGACAGGTGATAAACAGAAGGCAGCACGATTCTCAGTATGGATGGTGGGAGGCGCCATACACAAAGCCAGGGGAGGGCAAAACGGTGTCTGGGTGGGTT